GACAGGTCAGGACTCAGCTCTGAGGCTGCACAGGCAGCTCCAGCCTGGGAGGCTGTGCCGGCTGCTGGCTCCGGGGCTCCGGCACGCTCGGGGAAAAGTAACCTCGACAGCTGTAATGTTTCTGTGGCGTGCCTTTCCTTTCATGGGGTGTCTATTTTGCAACCCCCAAGTGTTTTGATCCCGGGAGGAAGGGGGCGGGGGTGTTTACCCTGGCACCGCGTGGCTGGCGCAGGGATCCAAGTGGCGCTGGGCATGCCTGAATTTTACGTGCAGCAACAGTTCTAGCAACATCTGCTGGCTGATAAAAGGTAGGCTGCCGTGCGCCGCTTCTCCCGCCGTGTTGGGAAACATCGAGGGGGAGGCACTGTGAACACGGCTTCCTGGCTGATAGGGCTGAGCTGACTTGCTGATAAAGCAGAATCCACCCATCTGGCTGCACCAGAGGGGCTGGGAGCTCTGGCTGCTCACAGGCACTCCGTGCCCGGTGCTTCCTTGAGTGCCAGCTCCCGCTTCCCACCGCGCCGGGAGCGATGGGCTGCCAGGCAGCTGCTCACTGGGCTGGGGCAACCACAGCGGAGTAGCTGAACCCCAGCGTGGTCACAACCCCTCTCCTGGTTCAAACAGTCACTGGTGAGTTTTGCAATCTCCATTTTCCCTGTAACTGTGTGTTATGAGCTGTAGGTTCTGGTTTATAGCAGAGCTCTGCTGGGGAGGGAACTGGGGAAAAGGCTGGTGCTGGGGAGCTGCTGCCTTGAAGAGCCAGAGCAGCGTCAGCTCAGCCCTGCCCACCGTGCGTTGGGTGCTTGCTCTGTCTGGCCTCTTGTCTCTCTCTTGTTCAATGGCCTCACAAAGCTTTTAGAAGAGGCAGCTCTTCCTGGCAGCTCTGAGCCCTCTCACCAGCCAAAACTGCTATAAAATGATCTTTGTCCTGTCTGGTGTGAACACCTGGCCCTGGCTGCAGCCCCGGGGATGCAGCTGCCCTGGCCCCACTCACAGAGATGATGCAGTGGGGCTCAAGGTGCACCCCAAAGGTAGAGGCTCTGCCCTGGCACTGCCAGTGGCTGCTGTTGCTCCAGGGGGCTGCAGAACACATCCCAGGGCCAGGAAACCTGAAACCCAGCTCTCCCACCTAGACATGTTTGTGTGCGTGTGGATGCATGCTGTACTTCACCCTTGTCTGGGTTTGACTGAGAATTTTGTTGGTGTTTTGGTTGTTTTATTCTCTCTCTGACTAGTTCCCCTCCTGCCAACATCCCTGGGTGTCTCTGTATCCCCTCTTCCAAAGGCAAGGCTTTACCCCTCTCCATCCTGCTCCGCAGAGCTGGTGTGAGAGCATCTCCATGTGCAGAGCTGCTGCAGCTGATGGAAATGAACCCTGGGAGTGTGGTGAGGGATGCAGAGGCTGCTCCGGTGTCCCTTTGCCTGTTCCTGCTCACCAGCCATCCAAAAAGCCCGTCCCATGCCATGCTGGCTGTGCCAGTGGTAAAGAGGCTCCTGCACCATGTCCCCAGGCCCGTGGGGAGCAGGAGCGTGTGGCAATCAGATGTGGCTGGAGCAGCACGGTGCCAGCACTGCCCCCATCACCCCCAACCCACCTGGGTCCTGCACAGAAAATCCAGCCTGGCTGTGGCTGGATTAGTGCCATTGTGTGTGCTCACTGAAGCATGGCAGAGAAAATGAAATTGTGTCTCCAGACCCCAATCAGGACTAATTCGATGCTGAAATGAGCTTAATCCTCAGGTCCTTCTCCCATCACATCCCTTCTGGGCTGGTGCAGGTCTGAGCGGGGATTATCACTGAGCCAGGGGCTGTGCTGGATGTGGCCTCAATGCTGGGGGCTGGTGCAGGACCTGTGGGACCCTGGGGCTGTGCCCTTGGTGTGGTGCTACAGGGGCTTGGGGTGGGTCATTATTAGTGTGGAGGGAAAATCCCTTCTTTGAGTTCCCTGGCATGTCCCCTCCCGGAGACATGGGCTGGTTGGGTGCTGGGCTCTGCCACTGTGGCTGTGTGGTGTGTCCTGCCCACCAGTGCTGGTCCTGCTACATCCTCAGTGTCTGGGGGAATCCCACCAGTGTCAGGACAGCACCTGTATCTGGCTGTGGCTGCCCCGGGGCGGCTCTTGGTGCACCATGGTGGTTTTCTTTCATAGTCCCAGCCCTTGGATTCAAGGGATTTTGCTGGGATTTTGTTTGGTATTTTGGTGGTTTTGGTTTGACCAGGTTTCTAGGCCTCTGTGGTTGGAAGAGGAAATCTGAAGAGAGGAGAAAAACCTTTCCCAAGGATGGCAAGTGCTGGCAGGCAGGCACAGCCCCTGACCTGTGGTGTGAGCAGAGCTGTTGGCAGCCCCTGTCCCTGATCCCTGAGGTGCCTGTCCCTAGCTGGGGCACCTCTGCCTGTGAGGGGCTGGTGGTCCCCCCTGGGCAGCATCAGGTCACATGTGAGGTTTCTTTGTTCCTGTAACAGTTCGAGTTCTCCATTTTTGGCTCCCAGAGTTGCCGGGACACCCAGCTGGTCCTGGCGCTACTGGTCCCGGCTCTGCCCACTGGTTGTGGAACCCATTGCCTCTGCCCTAGGGTGGCACATTTTGTTAACAGAGTCAGCATTACCTCCTTCATGAGCCTCACAGTGCCTGGCCTCAGAGGTTTCCAGCGTGGGCTGGGGCACTCAGCTGCCTCCTCCCCGACGCCGCCGGGGTGAAGCCGTCGGCTGCTACCACCTTCTGTGGGAGACAAACAAACCCCATCAAAGCACGGAGCTTCTAGAAGGAGCTCGCTCCCGTGCTGGCTGCTGCCTCCCAGCCAGAGCTGGAAACCACAGGCCGGTGTAAAACACGCGAGCTGCCCTGGGCCCTCTGTGCTGACTCCGCTGTGCCTCGGTGCCCCCAACCCTGGCTGCAGCTGCGAGCAGGGACAGGGTCTGGGGGCCGCTCACCAGCACCTGGGTGTTCCCGGTGCAGTCTCTACCCCGATGCCATGCGCTGTGGGGGTGTGAGCAGAGTTGGGGGGTGCAGGTGAGTAGGTCCTGTCTATCCCCATGCTGAGTTCTTGCAGTGGTCCCTGGCGTCCCAACCCTGGCTGCTGGCCAGCCAGGGGGGCTCAGGGGGTCAGTCTGCTGTGGACAGAGGCTGTGCCCACTCTGGCACCGTGGGAGGCATGCGGGGCCGAGCTGGAGGGTGTGCTGGCCCCGCTCCCCAGCCCGCACCCCACAGGCAGCCGTGGCAGAGGTGGCTGCCAGCAGCCCAGGGCAGGCTGCCCTGCGCAGGCAGCTGACATTTTGGAAGGAAATAGCTGCTCTCTGCTCCTTCCTGTAGCGCGCAGCCAGCGAAAGGGGAGCCCGGCTGTGCCGGCAGCGCCCGCCTGGAGCCGCGGCCGGGCTGCCCCGGCTTCGGACACCGGAGGGTTGCGTGGGGCCTGACCCCGGGTGAGTGCGGCTGCAGGACGGGGCACCCCGCACCAGGCTCCAAGGGGTCCCTGGGACGAGCCGGGGCGGGCAGGGGGCCGGTGTGGGTGGAGGGGTGGGGTGTCTGCGTTGGTGGAACCAGAGCCCTCGCGTGTGCGGAGCGGCTGCTCTCGGGTGCCGTCCCCACCGTCCCGCGGGCCGGGCTGGGGGCTGGATCGTGCCCTGGAGGGACCTTGCTTGTGGCTGCCCACCTTGGGGGCTGCGGGAGACCCTCCCGCCGGGCCCGCCGCGGGCAGGGGCAGCGCCGGCTGGGGCAGCGCCGGAGCCCCCCCGGCGGCACCAGCGGGGTGCGGGGGGTGCGGGGTCCGGCCCCGGCCGCCAGCAGGGCCGGCTCTGACCTGGAAGCGATCGCGGGCTCCCGGAGGTGCCGAGAAACCACGTGTCCGTGTTTACTGCGGCGGGAGGCGCAGCGGGCGCAGGGCCGCTGCCGCCGGAGCCCAGCGCCGGGACCCTGCCGGGGCAGGACACCGCTCCGGAGACCCCCGGGCCGGCAGATCGACGGGCGAAGGGCAGTGCGGGAGCCGCCGCGGCGGAGGGGTTGCGTGTGTCCGGCGCGGGAGTGGGGTGGTGGTGGTGGTGGGGTTACAGCCAGAGGCTTTTGCTGTGGTCCCCCCAGGGCTTTGCGTGGCCCTGGACCCCTGCCCGGTCCTGCGGGGCATGGGACTGGGCAAGGGGCTGCTGTCGAGGGCTGTGCCAGCACCGTGGCAGGGGTGTCCTGCCCTCGGAAAGGTCCTCGGGATGGCTGTGTGCAGGGAGCATCTCGCGGCTGATTGCGAGGAGCATCCCGTGCGGAGCGTGCCCCAGCCCCAGGGTGACTGCTGCCCGTGTCCCGTGGCACGTGGGAAACTGCCACTGCCGGCCTCACCCCGTGAGGCATTTCCCTCCTTTTGTCTGCCCACGGATGTACTCGGCTCTCCTGCAGCTTGGGACCTGTTGCTGGCGCCAGCCCGCTGCCACTGTGGTTGAAACCCTTCCCCGCTGTAGTCGCATCAGTCCCCTGGCTGTCCCCAGCCCCAGCAGTGCTGCCAGCCTCCCCCGCCATCCTCTTCCCCAGTGCTGTCTCCGGCCCTCTGAGAGCCCCTTTTGGGTGGGTTTCATGGATTTTGCATTGGGTTTGGCAGTGCCTCCCCACTGGCAGCGGGGAGTGGGGCTGTCAGAGGCAGAAGCAATGACTGCTGGTGTCTGCCTTCTTTGCATGGTCCCTGTGGGGCTGGGGTCCCTGCCCGTGGCACTGGGGTCCCTCTCCTCAGCCCTGCTCCTACCCCGGGAAGCTGCTGCCTGTGCCGCCTCGCAGGCGATAAGTCTCCGGTGAGCGCCTTGCTGTGGCTTGTCGAGCGCTGCTGGTTAACCGAGCTGCAGTGACGGGTGGGTTCCAGCTCGCTGCCAGCGAGTAAATGCAAAGTAGCCTAAACCACTACAATTATCTGCCTGTTGCAGTTGTTGGGAGTGCGTGTGGGGCTGGCGGCTGCAGCACAGCTGACCCGTGGCAGCGCTTGAGGCTGCCGTGGCCCTGCCACGGTGCTGGAGCCACGGAGAGCGCTGGGGCTGGTGGGCTGGGTGGTGGCACTGAGGTGGTTGAATACCAGTCCCTGGGCACAGGGGTGAATCCATCCTCGGTCTCCCACCCCTTGGGAAGCCAGTGGTGCCACGAGAGAGTGTGGTGCTGGAGAGTGGTGCTCGGCTTGGTCCAAGTCAAGGCAGTGGCTGCAGGCAGCAGCTGGGCACAGAAGGCAGGGCTGCCTGGAAAAGCTGGCGGTGGTGGCTCTGGCTGCACAGTGGGACCATGGTGCTGCAGCTCGTGCCAAAACTGAGCTGCTGCATCAGCCTTGCTGGGTCTCAGGGCCAAAAGCCTCATCTACTCATGGCAGGCAGCACTGGTGGCTTGTGCTGGGGCACCCAGTGGCCCACGGGGAGGTTTGGTTTGTCAGTCCACAGGTGAGATGCAGGAAACCAAAATGAGGTGCCTGCAGAAATGTCCACTGCTGCACTGACGGTGCCCATGGAGGTTGTGCCCAAGCCTGGCATGAGTGGTGTTTTGGGGCACACACCAGGTGAGCAGTGCCACTGTTGGCAGCTGCATGGTCCCCTGTAGAGGCAGATGCGATATTGGTGCTCCTGCTCCCAGGCTGGCGCTGGCTGAGCGCAGTGCCTGCTGGCTCACCACAGACCAGCTGGAGACTCGTTGCTTAACAACACACTGGAGTGGAGTAGGAAGTGTTTTGTCACCACGAAATGGGAAGAGATCACCATTTTCTCGACAGGCAGGGCAGCATCTGTTTGCTCTGTGTCCATGCAGATGTCCCTGCAGTGCTGGGGACTTTGGTTTTTTGTGTCATGGTGGCGGTGTCGTGGCCAGGGCTGTTCCTGGCCCTGCCACCGCTGCCCCTTATCAAGCATCCTCAATTTCCAACAGCAGCTTGTCCTGTTAATGGCCATCCCACCTTCCCTTTCCTCCTTGCTGGCGTTCTTATGCCTCCCCAGTCCCCTCCTTGCCAGCAGCATTTCTAGCTTGGTGATTTCTGTGAATGTGGAAACGTTCCTCCCTTTTTATAAGGGAAAAATTCATTTTTAGCCAGCTCTGGGTTATTGTTCCTCTTCCTGCTCAGGGGTGGGTGTGCCAGGCTCAGGGGCTCCAGCCGTGGCTGCTCCTCTCGGACCCGCTGCCTCTGTCCCCCAGCGTGTGCCCCTGACTGAGGGACCCTATCAGCTCTTCTGGAGCTGTGTGGGCCGTGGGGTGTTTCTGAGGCTGAACAAAGTGCTTTGGGGAGCTGGGGAGCCACAGCCCCCGCTGGCCCGGTCGTTCTGCTTGCCACCAGCCATTGCAGTGATGGGGTCCTGTGATGATCACTCGGCCTTGGGACATGGCCCGAGGTCCTGCACATCTGCCCAGCCCCTCTGTGTGGTGCTAGATCCCAGGAGGTTTGGGTGTGAGTGTATCTAAATGCTATTTACTGCTGCCTCCTCGTCTTGGGGGGGGAGCCTTGAGCACCACTGTATTACCCTCAAACACTCAGCCACCAGGTGTGACTGCCCAGGGGATGCACTGGGATTTAGCAGAGGTGCTGTCTCTGCTGTCCCATCCCTGGCTGCCCCATGGGAGCTGAGGCTGTATGGCGGGTGGAACCTGGCAGTGCTCCTGCATGGAGCCAGCGCTGCCCCAAAACTGCTTTGAGAAGCTTCGTGTGTCTCCACCAGGACATAGGTCATGCAGTAGCCCTGGGATCAGGGACCTACCGGGGTCTGTGGTGCCACGTGGTCCCTTGGGGCCGGGACTGCTTCTGCCCGTCAGCACTGCCAGGGTGTGGGCAGGAGCAGGGCGAGCGCAGGGGGGGCCTCTGCTCTGCGTCACCCTGGATTTCTGGCCAGCCCTCCCTCCCCTCAGCCCCGTTTCCTCATTTGCGTGGCCAGCGATGGCTGCGATCCCGTGGCGCAGCGAGGGGAAATGAGAACCATGTGGAGAGGCCGCGCAGAGGCGCGTCCCTGGCCCCGGGCACCCCCAGGGTTCTTCCTAGAAAAGAGGGGGTGACTCAGAGCCAGGGTCCCCAGCCCCCACACGCCCCTTCTTTCAGCCACTGGAGACAGCGCTGGCAGCGCCAGAGACTCCAGAGACTCCTGCAAGGGAAAACACGGAAGCTCCTGCAAAGGGTGTGGGGACAGCTGGGGCTGGACCCTGTGCAGCACAGCGCCCGCCTGTCTGCCAGGGGTGCCCTGACAGCCCGTCTCCCGCAGGTGCTGAGCCATGGCCGTGTGGATCCAGGCCCAGCAGCTCCAGGGCGAAGCCCTGCGGCAGATGCAGGCGCTCTACGGGCAGCACTTCCCGATCGAGGTGCGGCACTACCTGTCACAGTGGATCGAGAGCCAGGCATGGTGAGTTGGGGGTCCTGTCCCCAGGGGGTGCTGGGCTTAGCAGCAGCTGCCCCAGGGGTGCTGGTGGGCACCGATGGGCTACCCTGATGCTCTCTGCTCTGTACGTAGGGACTCCATTGACCTCGACAACCCCCAGGAGAATGTGAAGGCAACGCAGCTGCTGGAGGGGCTGATCCAGGAGTTGCAGAAGAAGGCAGACCATCAAGTGGGTGAGGATGGCTTCCTGCTGAAGATCAAGCTGGGGCACTATGCCACGCAGCTGCAGGCAAGTGGGGGGCCGTGGGTGGGGGTGTGAGACTGGGGGGTCCCTGCCCTGTGCCTGGCTGAGGTTGTGCTCTCCTACAGAACACGTATGACCGGTGCCCCATGGAGCTGGTGCGCTGCATCCGGCACATCCTCTACCATGAGCAGCGGCTGGTGCGGGAGGCCAACAATGTGAGTGGGAGCCGGGAGGGGTGAGGGAGAGGGTCCTGCAGGGTTGGAGAAATGCTCAGGGACTCCAGCATGATGAGGGGAGCAGCCCCGAGGCAGGGGGTGCTCTGGGTGCCCCCAGCACCCAACAAAACAGGGAGGGTCCCCTTGCCATGCTAAACGTGCCCCATGCCCTGCACAGAGCCCCTCGCCCGCTGGCTCCCTGGTGGATGCCATGTCCCAGAAGCACCTGCAGATCAACCAGACCTTCGAGGAGCTGCGGCTCATCACGCAGGACTCGGAGAACGAGCTCAAGAAGCTGCAGCAGACACAGGAGTACTTCATCATCCAGTACCAGGAGAACATGCGCCTTCAAGGTGGGTGAGGGGCTGAGGGGGTGTGGGGCCGGGGCACTGGCAGGGTTGGCCCTAACGCCATGACCTGTCCCCCAGCCCAGTTCTCCCAGCTCTCTCAGCTGGGCCCCCAGGAGCGCATGTCTCGGGAGACGACGCTGCAACAGAAGAAGGCGTCGCTGGAGGCCTGGCTGCACCGGGAGGCCCAGACACTACAGCAGTACCGCGTGGTGAGTGATGCCACCCTGTCCCCCGTGATGCTGTCCTCTGCTTCCTGTGATGCTGTCCCTGTGGCCCATGACACCATCCCACCTCGCAGGACCTGGCTGAGAAGCACCAGAAGACGCTGCAGCTGCTGCGCAAGCAGCAAACGACCATCCTGGATGACGAGCTGATCCAGTGGAAGCGTCGGCAGCAGCTGGCAGGGAACGGGGGCCCACCCGAGGGCACCCTGGACGTGCTGCAGACCTGGTGGGTGCCTGGTGGGGCAGGGCAGGATGGGGTGCTGAGCTGCAGCATGTGCTGAGCCCTGCTCCCCTCAGGTGCGAGAAGCTGGCGGAGATCATCTGGCAGAACCGGCAGCAGATCCGCCGCGCTGAGCACCTGTGCCAGCAGCTGCCGATCCCGGGCCCCGTGGAGGAGATGCTGTCAGAGCTGAACGGCACCATCACCGACATCATCTCTGCGCTGGTCACCAGGTACTGGTGGGGTCTGGGTGGACTGAGGCAGTGGGTGGGGTTGGCCCTGCTCTGCCCACCCCCCCTAATCCTCCTGCTCCCCCAGCACCTTCATCATCGAGAAGCAGCCCCCCCAGGTGTTGAAGACACAGACCAAGTTCGCAGCCACCGTGCGGCTCCTGGTGGGGGGGAAGCTGAACGTGCACATGAACCCCCCCCAGGTTAAGGCCACCATCATCAGTGAGCAGCAAGCCAAGGCCCTGCTGAAGAACGAGAGCACCCGCAAGTAATGCCGGGGGCTGGGGGGGTGTAGTGGGTGGCTGGGGCTGCCAAGGCAGTGGGGAGAATGGTGTGGGGGGGCCTGCACCTCAGATGGCTCCCAGCCCTGGTGGGCCCCTGACCTCTGCATTCTGATGGCAGCGAGAGCAGTGGGGAGATCCTTAACAACTGCTGCGTGATGGAGTATCACCAGGCCACTGGAACGCTCAGTGCCCACTTCCGCAACATGGTGAGCGCCCCCGCCTGCCCTCATGTCCCCCTGTGTTCACCCTGGTGTCCCCATCTGTTCCCCTGTGCTCACCCCTCATGTCTCCCTGCAGTCCCTGAAGCGGATCAAGCGCTCGGATCGCCGTGGGGCCGAGTCAGTGACGGAAGAGAAGTTCACCATCCTCTTCGAGTCGCAGTTCAGTGTTGGTGGCAACGAGCTGGTCTTCCAGGTGAAGGTAAAGCCACCAGCCCTGTCCCCTCTGTAGGCCCTAGGCGAGCCACAGACACCATGCCCACAGGTGTGGGACTGGGCTGGGGCCATAGGGTGCCCACAGGCAGCGCTCCTGTGGTGCCCCACAGCCCATTCTGGTCTCCTTCCTCCTGGCAGACGCTGTCCCTGCCGGTGGTAGTGATCGTGCACGGGAGCCAGGACAACAACGCCACAGCCACTGTGCTCTGGGACAATGCCTTTGCCGAGCCCGTGAGTGCCAGGGCCGTGGGGGGCAGGACAGGCCGTTTGCCCCGGGGGGGCTGTGGGAGTCGGGCTCAGCCTCCTGGCAGGACATGCCCGGGGGCAGCAGGCAGAGCTTGGTGCTGACCCCAGTCTCTGCCCCCAGGGCCGCGTGCCCTTCGCCGTGCCCGACAAGGTGCAGTGGCCGCAGCTCTGCGAGGCGCTCAACATGAAGTTCAAGGCGGAGGTGCAGAGCAGCCGCGGGCTGACCAAGGAGAACCTGGTGTTCCTGGCACAGAAGCTGTTCAACAGCACCAGCTCCCACCTGGAGGACTACAGCAGCACCACGGTGTCCTGGTCCCAGTTCAACCGGGTGAGCGGCCTGGAATGTGTGCAGGAGAGCTGTGGGCACAAGCCCCCAGTGCTTGCTTGTGCTGGGGGGCTGTATGGGGCATGTCCACCTTGGAGTCCCACAGTCCAGGTCCCTGAGTCTTTGCTGCCGCATCCAGTGGCTGTATTGTGTAACAGCAGCTCCGAGGCCGGTGGCAGGAGTGCTCATTTTCTGGGGATTTCAACAGGAAAACCTGCCCGGGAGGAATTACACCTTCTGGCAGTGGTTTGACGGGGTCATGGAGGTGCTGAAGAAGCATCTGAAGCCGCACTGGAATGACGGGTAAGAGCCGCCCTGCCCCGCGCTGCCCAGCCCAAGCCCCCTGCCCTGACGCCCTGCTCTGCCTAGGGCCATCCTGGGCTTCGTCAACAAGCAGCAGGCACACGACCTGCTCATCAACAAGCCCGACGGGACTTTCCTCCTGCGCTTCAGCGACTCGGAGATCGGTGGCATCACCATCGCCTGGAAGTTCGATTCCTGTGAGTGTGTGCCGGGCACTGGCACTCCCAGACGGAGTGTCCCTGGCCCCCACCTGGGGCTTGGCCGCCTCATGCTCATGGGGTGCTGGCAGTGCCATGGTGGGCACGCTAGAGCTTTCCTTGGGAAAGGGGCGAGTGCAAGAGCCCACGGGATGCCTCAGCTGCCCTGTGGGGAGCAGCGCTGCCCTCACTCACTGCAGCCATGGCTGCCACTGGGCCTGAGCACTGGCGAGAGCAGGGAGGAGTGACCAGGGTGAACCCTCTGACCCAGATGCTGTTTTCCTGCTTAATGTGACCTCACAGCCTGTGTCCAGAGCGGGGCCAGGAGCCACCACTGGCTCTGGACATCACCATGGTCCTCATTCTTGTCTTGCAGCTGAGAGGATGTTCTGGAACCTGATGCCTTTCACCACCAGGGACTTCTCCATCCGCTCCCTGGCCGACCGCCTTGGGGACCTCAGTTACCTTATTTACGTGTTCCCTGACCGGCCCAAGGACGAGGTGTTCTCCAAGTACTACACGCCGGTTCTCTGTGAGTCCACGCCAGGTAGCGCTGTCCCTTCACCCCATGTGTGTCCCCTCCTTTGTGCATCCAGCTGGCGTGGAGCTGGGGCTCACAGCATCCCCCACCCCGGGGCTGCACTGGCCCCACAGGGGCTCTGCAGCTGAAGCCCCCAGCACTGCCACAGGCTCGTGGCATGAGCAGGATCTTGGGGCCTCAGCGCTGTCTCCTTCCCTCTAGCTAAAGCCGTGGATGGATACGTGAAGCCACAGATCAAGCAAGTGGTGCCAGAGTAAGTGTGACCCCAAAGGCAGACCCTGGGCAGTGGATCCCATGGGATTAACCCTGTCGAGCTGGCAGGGGTGACTGCCAGCTCAGGGCACTGTAGAGCTCAGCTGCCTATGGCCATGTTGGTGCTGAGCCTTGGGAGATGCTGTTCAGAGGGGGTGAAAATTTCCAGAGCGTGACTTCACCCCCAGGGTGCCCATCGTGTCCTGTGCCAGCACTCATGAGACCTGTCCCCACAGGTTTGTCAATGCATCAGGCGATTCTGCCCCTGGAGGGGCCACCTACATGGACCAGGCACCCTCGCCTGCCGTCTGCTCCCAGCCCCATTACAACATGTACACCCAGAAGTAGGTATCACATCCCCTGCCCCCATCCTGCTGCAGCCAGTCCCCTCCTCACCCCCTGCCTCCTGCAGCCCCGACCCCGTGCTGGACCCTGAGGGTGATTTCGACCTGGATGACACGATGGACGTGGCGAGGCACGTGGAGGAGCTGCTGCGGCGCCCCGTGGACAGTCAGTGGATCCCTCACGCCCAGTCGTGACGGGCAGGCACCTGGTCCCTCGCCACCGGCCCTGGCGCTGTGGGGACTGTGCTGTGTTTGTGTCTCTGTGCCGGGGGGGGCGGCGGGTGGGCTCTGCCCCCAGGATTTGCTCCGTGCTGCCCTGAAACACAGGCTGGCGTCCGGCTCTTTGGTGTTCATGCCCTTGTATAAAACGGCAGCGGATTTGTCGCATGGTTTTCCTGTATGTTCCTTTTAAGAGGCCCAGCTTCGGCTTTCCGCTTCTGCCAGCACCAGCCCTGCAGCCCCCTGCTCCCCCCGCGGGGCTGCTGGGGCAGGGGCTGGGAGCCCGGCCTCAGGTTTGCTTTCGCAGTCGTCACTAAGAATGTACGTGTCGCCTTCTTGTTCTCCCCCCGCGGCTCTGTCCCCAGGGGTGTGTTGGGGGCGTGGGGCGGAGCGGGGGTTCAGCCGGGGCTCCCCCCCGGCCAGTGCTGCTCTCTGCTCCACAGCGGCGGGGTCCCCTCCCGGACCTCATCTCCTCCTCTGGCCCCCAAGGATGCAGGAGCCCCTCCGGCCTCAGTGTCCCCTCCAGAGCCGCTGCAGCACGAGGGTGGCAGGGTGCAAGGGCACCCAGCAAGGGCAGTCGGGTGGGCAGGGGGTTTGGAGGAGCGGAGCCTTCTGCCCCCCACCTCTCCCCTTGCCCTGGCGGGAAGCTCTGGGGTCCTGGCCATGTTATTTTTCTACCACAGAGTAAATAAAGCACGGAATATTTTTATAACACAAAAGCTCTGGGTTCCAAGTGTGTCTTCGGGCAGAGGCAGGTTCCTCCAGGGGGCTGCGTGCTCTCCATCTCCAGCTGGTGCACCGGGTGAATGCTGGGGCTGGCCCGGGGTTTGAGGTCCCTGTCTCCGAGGGCAGGGGGATCAGGTCTCCCCTGCTACATGCAGGACAGATCCAGAGGGCTCCTCCCGGGCCGGGGGGCTACCCTGGAGAGCAGGGGCTGGGATGGGGATGGGGCTGGAGCCATATTTCCAGGCAAAAGGCGAAGCAAACCGAACCAATTGCCATGTTTTTCCAAAGAAGGAACTTCCTCTTGATGAGGGAGCAGGCGGCGCTGGAACTCGCGGTTCAGCCCGCCGGGCGGGGGGCTCCGGCGGTGCTGTGAAAAGTTGAAAATGAAAACAAAAGTGGAGCGGAGGAGGGAGGGGGGGGCGGTGCCGGGCGCGGTAATTCTCCGTCATTCCTGCCGGAGGCGGAATAGCCGGGGGGGCGAGGAAGGGCCGGGGCCGGGTCCCTGCTCGGGGGCGCCGGTCGCAACCCGGGATGCTGCCGGCGCTAGCGGTGGCGGTCGTGGTGGCAGTGGCCGTGGCCGTGGCTGTCCCCGCGCTGCGGCACTGCCTGCTTCGCTCCGCGCTGCTCTGCGCCGGGGGCCGGTACCGGCGGCGGCTGGAGGCGCTGGGCACCGGCGTGCGCCGGAGGCAGGAGCGGCGGCTGCGGAGGTTGCTGGGCACGGGCACCGGCCCGGCCGGCGGTGAGTGCGGGGCGGCGGCGCGGGGGGCTGGATGGGGGGGAGGACCCGGGGTAGCCCCCCTCACCTCGTGTCTCTCCCGGCAGTCTCCGAGGAGTTACGAGAGCGGCATCCCCTGGGGCAGCGCTGCCGGGACGGAGCGCCGACGGATCCGGTTTCCCCGCTGCTCCCCTGGGCTCTGCTCCGCGGCTGCTGGGACACCGACCCCGCGCTGCAGGTACGGGGGGCAGCGGGCGGGGTGGGCACGGACCCTCGTGGGGTCTGCCCCCCGCAGGGTCTGCCCTCCTGACCCCATCCTTCCCCGCAGGGATCCCTGCTCTACCTGGATGCCCTCGGTGCCGCCTTCCCGCGGGCACTGGCGCACCGGGGCACGTCCCTGCTGCACTGGACCCCCGGCTGCCCCCGCGCCCCGGCGGGGTGGCCGCTGCCCACCCTGTACTGCACCCCTGCCCCGGCGGGTGCCCTGCCCTCTCGGGCCACCGCCCTGCGGGTGCAGCTGCTGTTCGCCCTGCGGCAGCGGGAGCTGCACGTTCTGGAGGCCGGGCTGGCGGCCGAGCTGCGCGACGCGCTGGCCACCCTGCGCGATGAGTGGCCCCAGCTGGCCCAGGAGCTGGCACTGGGCAGGCTGAGCCCCCAGCCCGGGCTGCCTGAGGAGGTGCGGAGCCAGCTGCAGGCACTGCTGACCCCCGATCCTGCCCGGGCGGCTGAGCTCCGCGCTGAGTGTGCCCGTGGCTTCGAGGGCATCGTGCGGCGCCTGTGGCCACAGCTGGAGGTGGTGGTGGTGGGGTCAGCACACAGCACAGAGCGACTCTACTGTGATGCCCTCCTCCAGGCTGACTGCCTGGGGCTGCCCTTCTATTGCCCCTTCTACCAGGCAGTGGGAGGTGAGTGTCCCCCACACCGGGGTGTCCCCACAGTCTGCCCTGCGTGCACGCAGGGAACTGCTGCTGTATGGCAGCAAAGATCCCCCTGTCCCAGCAGACACCACTGCATCTCTGTGCTACATCCCCTTCCTGCTCCCCAAAACCAGCACTGTCCTAGCACCAGCTAAAAATTCCCCCTTGGAGCGGGTGATGCTGTGTGGGCAAGGACAGAGGGTCTGAGGGGCTCACACTGACACACACTGACTCTGCCCAGCTCTGCTTGGTGTGAACCTGTGGCCAGAAGAGCCAGTGCCCCAATTCCTGCTGTGCCCTGACTGGGCTTTCTTCGAGTTCCTGCCCTACCCTGTGGAGGAGGAGCCACGGACGATGCTGTTGGATGAGCTCTGGGAGGGACACGAGTATGGGCTGGTTGTGACAGCCCAGCCAGGAGAGTGCAGGTGCTTCCTCCCTGCTGTGTGGTCCTGGAGGACCACTCGCTCCAGCCCCACACACCCAGCTCTCCCTAACACTCCTCTGCCCACGCAGGTGCTGTGCTGGGGAGGTGCTGAGGGTGGCTGGCTTCCACAAGCAGTGTCCCGTGGTGGAACCTGTGCGGAGGTGAGGATACCCCAACCCCTGCCCCTCACCTCGGGGAGCTGTGGGGGGACTCTGTAGCAGGCAGGGTGTGGGCAGGAGGGTGGCAGTGACCCACCTCAGCCCCGTGCACCGCAGGGAGAGCCAGACACTGAGTGTGCGGGGTGAGAGCATACCTGAGGATCGGTTCTGCCAGACCCTGCGCCGCGCCTTGGGCATGTGGCCGGGTGCTCGCCTGGTTGACTATGTCTGTGTGGAGAGCAGCCTGCTGGGTGAGTCCCCCTGAGCTGCCCGAGTCCCCCTAAAAGCATGGCTGGCACTGCTGGGGGCTGGGGGCAGCTCTGAACGTGCTCGTGGTGCTGCTCCAGGCGACTCTTCGGGGCCCTGCGCCCCCCACTACGAGGTGTTCGTGGAGCTGCAGGGCCTGCGGGACCTGTCGGAGGGGCAGCGCTACAAGGTGAGGGGAACGTGGGCTCTGCTCTGGGGTGGCCTGGTGGCCTCTGGGGAGGGGTAGCTGAGGGGCACTGGGACAGTGGTGTGGGACCAGCACAGGCAGCTGCCCTCTCTTTGCAGCTGGACCAGTGTCTCCAAGAGGATTTCCTTGTCTACAAGTCCTTCCGCTTCAAGGGCAGCATTGGGCCCCTGCGCCTGCACCTGGTGAGGGCTGGAGCCTTCACCCGGCTGCGGGAGGCACTGGGCTCCCCTGTGCCCATGCCCAGGGTCCTGCGGGAGGAGCGGCTGCTGCAGCTCATTCAGGGCTCCGTCATCTCCTAGGGCAGCCCAGGGGTCCCACAGCCCACCATGCCCTGGGGTTCACTTGGTGTGCACCCTCCAGGGAGGGAGTGGGGCCATGTCCCTGGTGCAGGAGGTGTGGGGGTGAGGGTGCCCAGCTCCAGGGGTTTGGCTGAGCAGAGCCGATGGAGACAAGTGAGCTTGACCAAGCCTCTGCTCCCTGCTCAGTGCTGCTGTGGGGATGGAGTGGACACTTGGGAGTGTCATGGGGCAGTGGGGTCCTGCAGCCACCAGATACGCTCGCTCAGTGCCTTGGAGTGCCCTCAGCCACAGTGAAACGGGTTCCTGTGCCTTTCCTGAGGGACATCTCAGCCCATGTCTGAGGCAGAGAGCACAACGGAAACCTCTGCAGGAGCAGAAGGAGCAGCAGAGCCTTTGCTCATCACTCCACTGAGTGCTGGGGTTCTGTGGCATTTTGTCCCCTGGCAGGGACACTGGGCAAGGCACAGGTGGCTGGTGGTGGCAGGTGCCATGGAGCAGCCCCAGCCAGGCTCCAGTGCACATCCACTGGTTTAGGAAAGTACGCTCCAGCAAGGGATGCTTTTAATGTTTTAAAAAGCAAAGTAAAGGAGGATTATCTCTTAAAAAAATAAATAAAGGGCCATGCTCTGGGATTGATTTTTTTATACTATTATTTTTAATCCTCATTAAAGAGATTGCTCGAGCAGTCTGACTGCTCTGGGGACTGAGGAGTCACTGCTATTCTCTGGGGTTCTGGGGAAGGGGCAGCCATGAATATTTAACTGGTTCAGCGGCTGGGTGGGCTCTGGAGTCACCGAGGTCTTTGTGCCTTTTTTGCACATGTGTATCATCGGGGGGGACTGGTCCTTTCCTCTCCTGCTTGTTAAGGGTTATTTTAAGGGCTGGCGAGGGCATGTGGGGCACCTGCTGCGCTGCAGCTGCTGCCGGGCGACTGCCGGGCCGCGGGCAGGGGATGATGATCTCTTGGACAAGGTTTACACAAAGCAAAGCATCCCGCGGCACAGCCCAGACCCCCGCCAGGGATGAACCGGGTTGGGGCCCCTTCCACCCTCCCTGCCGGGAAAAACTGGAGCAAAATTTCTTCTACAAGTCGGGGAGAAGCATTGCCTTGGGCTGGGGGTACCCTGCAGCAAAGGCCTTGAGCCCCCTTCCTGGCAGAGCCGCGTGGGGCCAGGGCTGCACCCGCTGGCTCTGCTTGCAGTGCCCTGCCCGGACACCGGCTCTAGAGGGGGTACAGGCTGGTGGGGGAGACCCCGCTGGGCAGGGCCATGCTGTAGGGTGCCTACCTGAGTGTAGGGTGCCAGGCTGCAGGGTGCAAGGTCGACTTCAGTGCCCGGCTGCAGGGTGCAGCTTGTTTTGGGTGCAGGTTTGTTTGGGCCGCTGGTACCAAGGCTGCAGGGTGCAGGTGCATAGCTGCAGGGTGCCAGGCTGGGTTTGGGTGCCCGGCTGCGGGTTGCGGGCTCTGCCGGGGTCCCTCCCGAGATGGGGCGGCTGCCGGGCCCTGGCGCTGCGGCGCTGGGCGGAGGCCGGGGATGCCCCGGCGGTGGGAGGTTCCGGTGCCTGTTCCCGAGCCCCACCGCTGCAGCCCGGGGCGGGGGGGCCGCGCCGTCCCCGTCCCCATCCTCGTCGCGTCCCCGCCCCCGGCCCGGCCCGTCCCCTCCTCCCGGCCGCACCGCCTCCCTCCCGCTCCGCCACTGAGCCCGCAGCGGCGGCGGCGGCGGGCGCAGGCTCCGGGCGCCCCGGGGCCCCGCGGCGGCCGCTGCCCTGAGGCCGCGGGGGATGGCAGAGGAGCCCCGGGGCGCCCAGCCGCCGGGCTCGCCCCGCCCCGCCGCGCCGCTGCCCAACGGGCCCCGCGGCGGCGGCGGCGGCAGCCCCGGCTCGGGCTCGGGCAGCAGCAGCCGCGAGGACTCGGCGGAGCGAAGCCCCGCGCCCACAGCGCCCCGGGCCAGCATCATGAAGGTGAGAGCAACGCACCGGCCCGGCCCCCCCGCGCCCTGGGACCGACCCCTGCGCAGCGCCGAGGGGGGCAGAGCCGCGTCCCCCCGCACCGGCCCTGCCCGCTGCCCCCCGCTCCCCCTGGGCCCGTGGGGCGGCTCCGCGGAGCAGCCGCATCCTCGGTTGGTGCCCGGGGGTCGCCACCTGCCCGCGGCGCCGGTCGCTCCGGGACTGGCCCGACGTCCCCGAGCCCTGCCCGGCCCCGTGGTCCCCAAGGGCACAGTCTGTTCCGGCCCGGCTCTGTGGAGTGTCCGTGGGTCGCCCCGTCCAGTGCAGCGGGTCCCCTGCACGACCACGCTGCAGCATCACCCGGTCCTGCTCAGGGCACCGTTGGGTGCCGGTGAGAAGGCGCCCGCTCCTGCCCCTCAAACAGCTTCTGCTCTCCCATGCGCCCTCCTGCCAAGCGCTGAGCCTTCGGCCCGGCCTGGCCAGCTCCCAACCTGTTCCTGACGCCTCCCGGAGCCGGGCCGTGGTGGGGCAGGGGGTCAGGGAGGGTCTTGGGGGTCTCCCACTTGGGTGGGCAGTGGATCAAACGTGCTTTCCTAAATGAACTCCCCTGATTGTGCTGAGGCTGGCGGTGCTCGCTGACACAATGGGTCACGTCCGCCCGGGACTTGCCTCCCCGCTCCCGGCAGCCTATTTTAAGCTGGGATTGCTCCGATGCTATTAATACCCCATGTGGGGGCTGTTCCCGTGGCGCCCCAGCCCCGCTTTTCTGCCCCCGGGACTCGTTTCTCTGGGCAGCGGCGTCGGGACCCTGAGCCCTGCCCTCGCCCGCCCGGGCTCTCGCTGCAAACTGTTGCGGGGGCGGCCGGGATGCACCCACGCGGTGACGGCGCGGAGACCTCCCGGTGCTCCCGTGCAGCCAGAGGCTGGTGCCGGTGCGCTGTCAGTGCCCGGTTTCCTTGGGGACCTCGCCGGGGACTCCTGCTGCTACCGGGACGGGCCAGCATCCCTCCCTGCCCGGGGGACCGGCCGCGGGCGCTGCGGGCTGAGGGTGGTGAACCTTCCATTTGCCCCCGGGCTGGGCACATCCCCGTCACCACCTGCGTCACCGCGGGATTTGGCCTCACGTGAAGGTCGGGTGGCCCAGGGCCAGCGCAGGCTGCGGAGGGACATGACCCGGGAGAGGGTCAGGCCCGGACAGTGTCCCCAGCTCGTGCTGATCCGTCGTGCATCCCCGAGTCCATCCAGGGCCTGAGTGGCAGCGGAGGCACATGTGGGAAGAGATGCCAGCTCTGTTATTTTTTGGGATTTCCAGAAAAGACTGAAGAAGTGGATCTGAAAGAGCGACTCGCTGTGTGGAGCTGGGGGGAGCCTGGAGCAGTGGGATCCAGAGCTGGCCCCCGCAGTGTCCCTGTGCCCTGGTTAGAGGACCTCCTCCCTTCTCTCTTTTCAGGCTAGAGGCAGAGGGGTCTGGTGGGCTGGGAGGATGCTGGAGAGGGACTTGGGGGTACTGGATCTATTCCTTCCTGCTGCAGGAGGTGGCCCTTCCTGAGCACCTCACTGTCCTATCTCTTGCATCCCCTCCCCATCCTGTGCCAGCCCCAGGAGCTGTGTGGTGCCTCCGCTGGGATCTGGCTCCATGGCCCCTCGCTGGGGAGCGGCAGCTGGTGCCGCGGGGAGTGGATGTGTCAGTCGCTCTCTTCTTGGCAGGGAGCAAATGATGATAGAAAAACCCTGACTGTGCTTGGTCTCCTACTGCCTCCGCTCTGGGGTTCCTGCCTGCTTGCATCCCTGCCTGCATCCCTGCCAGTGCTGCCCAGCTCGGGGGGTAGTGGGGAGACCCAGGACCCAGGGAAACCAGCTGCAGATGAGTCCTGTCATGGCCAGGCTGGGGGATACGGGGAAGGGAGAGACAAATGATGGGCCCTTCTCCATCCTGAGCTTGGGAGCAGGTTGTGTGGCTGGTAGCAGTGGCTGCCATGTGGAGGCCAAGATTAGGGCAGTGGCACTCGCCAGGGCACTAATGCAGGAGGTAATTGGCTGAAGAGGTGCTCAGCACATGCTGCAGAGCTGGGCAGGGTATGAGCAGCTGGGACATGCCCTCTGAACCCACCATTGGCATCCTGGGTGCCATCAGCATCATGGTTAGTGCTTTCCTCTGCAGAGCCCTGCCTGCTCTCTGCCAGCTTGATGGCACGGTGATCAGGATCACTGGTCTTGCCAGAGCCCTGCTCTCTGTCTGGGGGTGCCCTGTGCTCCCATGGCCATGGGCATCACATCCTCCTGGCTCTGCTGCTGCCCCACTCATCACCTGCCTGTGCTGCTCCTGTCTGTGCCTTGTCCAGCTCCTTGTGTGGCATCCCCAGGGTTGAAGACCACCTGGAACAGCCAGTGGAAGGGGCTACCAGGGAGCAGCGGCTCTTCCCTGCTGGTCCCCAGGAGTGAGGAGCTGTGGGCAGGGGACCCTTGCACCCACTGCCTGCCACTTGCTGCCAGCCCGTGCAGAGGGAGAGCAAAGCCCACGTGCTGCAGGGCGCTCCTGGGTCTGTGCCACATATCTGCACCCCAAAGTGCTGCAAAGAGGACCCTCTCCCCTTTCCCCAAACCTGGGGGGATGGGGGGCTGCAGGGAAGGGCGTTCAGGCTTTTGTGCTGAGCCAGGGTGGCTGGGGTACCGGCAGGGCTGGTGGCAGTCGGGCGTGTCTGGCTGCCTTCACCGGGCACAGCTGGAAGCAGGTCCCTGGTGCTGGGTGCACACAGGCCCCCCGCCCGTGTTTCCTTTCCGGATGGATTTCCTGTTTTCGGCTGTGGGGCCCGGCGCGGAGCCGCACTGGGTGGGTGCGCCGGGCGGGGAGCGGGTCTGCAGAGGTGCGGGCGTCCTGCCCGGGGCAGGAGGTGCTGCCCTCAGTGCCCATCACCCCCTGGCAGGGCGAGGGCTGGGGCTGCCCCTCAGTGGAGCGCTCAGATTGCAGCTTGCAGGAGGCATCCAGGGGCAAGTCCTTCTTTGCAGGGCTGTCCAATGCTGTGACCTGCTGCTGAGCCCTTGCTGACCCAGGCTGGCTGGCACAGAGATGGGGCCCTGGAGCTCGGCCAGCTCCTTGGAGCAATCTGGCAGTGAGAGGATGCAAACAGCTCACACATCAGAGCTCTGGGACAGCAGGATCTGGCTGGCTCTGACAAGGGGATGAGGGCTGGGGCTGGTTCCCCCATCCCTGGGCCACTGTGTCACAGGTGTCCCTGGAGGAGCCGTCCACCCATTTCTGTGACCTGTCCAGACTGCCCTTGGCCAGGGCTGCCTGGTCCCAAGGGGCAAATCCCAGCCCCCTGGGTCAGGCACAGGGACACACTCGTCCAGGCACAGTCCCGTGCAGGAGGTGAGGAAGATCTCGGGCACTGGAGGGAAACACCTCCTCACCCCCAACCTGGGCAGCTGGGCAGGACCTGCCTCTGACAGAGACACCATCAGATTAGAGGTGACTCAACCATAATCTTGAAGAAGTGGATTAAATCTCCTCCTACTGCGCTACTTAATGAAATCCATCCCATAATACGCTCCTGGCCCTGCTGTTCCCCCTCATCTCCTGCCCCTCCCAGCCCTGTGGCAGCAGGGTCCCCCTTTGTCACCATGGGGCAGGACAGAGTGCAGGCATGGGGTGCTGGCAGCAAACAGCCCATGCTCCCGTGACCCCTGGCTCTGCAGGATGGGGCCATGGCCATGCTCATCCCCAGCCCGTGGCACTGGCAGGGGCTGTCCTACCCCTCTCCTAGCAGAAGGCCAGAGGGTCTGGCTGGGGCTCCCCAGGAGCGTTTCTGCTCATGCATCACATGCCAGGCATCGTTTTTCCTCTGATGTCCCCAGCCAGTGACCCAGCCCCATGCTGGGCTGCCAGTGCAAGGCCATACCTCCGAGGGTGAACAAGCAGTGGGGAAGGATCTGTCTCAGGGCTGGGAGCAGGAAGGAAGGAAGGAAGGAAAGCAGAGTTAAATTAAGCCAGGCAGTGAGCCGTGGGGGAGGCCAGGGCTGGAGCCAGCTCCCGGCCCCCAGGAGAGGGGTGGACCGGGTTGGACTGGGCTTCGTGTGGCACTGGGACACGCTGGGGCACCCCGGGGTGCTGCGCTTTGCTTTGGGCTGGGGTAGGGGGACCCTGAAGCAGGACCTGGAGGGGCGAGTGCTGCCTGCTCGTCCCTGACAGCCCTGCCCCTTTCCCACCCTGGTAGGATGGCTCCCGGCAGCGGCTGCCGCACAAGAAGAAGACGGTGTCCTTCAGCTCCATGCCCAACGACCGCAAGATCAACAGCACGGCCGCCTGCATCTCCCTCATGCTGGAGGGCTGCGAGCTGAAGAAGGTGCGCTCCAACTCCCGCATGTACAGCCGCTTCTTTGTGCTGGACGCCGACATGCGCTCCGTGCGCTGGGAGCCCTCCAAGAAGGACTCGGAGAAGGCCAAGATTGAGATCAAGTCCGTCAAAGAGGTGCGTGTAGGCAAGAAGACGCCTGTCCTGCGCAGCAACGGCCTCTCCGACCAGTTCCCAGATGAGTGCGCCTTCTCCATCATCTATGGAGACAACTACGAGTCTCTGGACCTGGTGGCCAGTTCGGCCGACGTGGTGAGTGCCTGGGTGATGGGGCTGCGGTACCTGGTGTCCTATGGGAAGCACAGCCCCGAGGCACCTGGGACCAGCCACCCCAGCCTCCGGACCTCCTGGATCTCCTCCGTCTTTGACCTCGCTGACCTGGATAAGTCTGGTCGCATCCCTGTGTCCCGGGCTGTGCAGCTGATCAAAGCACTCAACCCTGGCATGAAGACCTCCACCATCGAGCTGAAGTTCAAGGAGCTGCAGAAGGCCAGTGAGCGTCCTGGTGCGGAGGTGGCCTGCGACCTCTTTGTGGAGGCTTACTGTGAGCTCTGCACCCGCCCCGAGATCTTCTTCCTGCTGGTCCAGTTCTCCAGCAACAAGGAATACCTGGGTGTGAAGGACCTGCTGATGTTCCTGGAGGTGGAGCAGGGCATGGAGGGGGTCACAGAGGAGAAGTGCTTGGAGATCGTGGGCAAGTATGAGCCCTCCAAGGAGGGCCGGGAGAAGGGCTACCTGGCCATCGATGGCTTCACGCGCTACCTGCTCTCTGCTGACTGCTCCATCTTCGACCCGCAGCACCGCAAGGTCTGCCAGGACATGGCACAGCCCCTCTCCCACTACTACATCAGCTCTGCCCACAGCGCCTGCCTGCTGGAGGACAACTTCTGGGGCCGCTCGGACATCAGCGGCTACATCAGCGCCCTGGGCCTGGGCTGCCGCAGCATCGAACTGGTGCTGTGGGACGGCCCCGAGGGCGAGCCTGTGGTCTACACCAGCCCCTCTGCTGCCTCCTGCGTGCCCTTCCGTGCCGTGGTGGGGCTGATCGACCAACACGCCTTCACCGCCTCCGCCTATCCCCTCATCCTCTGCCTGGTGGTGCGCTGCTCGGCCCCCCAGCAGCGCCTCGCTGCCCAGTGCCTGCGCAAGACACTGGGGGACAAGCTCTATCTGGAGCCCCCCAACCCACTGGCGTCCTACCTGCCCTCCCCAGAGCAGCTCAAGGGCCGCATCCTCATCAAGGGCAAGAAGCTGCCACCCAGCTGCGAGGACAGCGAGGGGGAGGTGTCGGACGAGGAGGAAGGCTGGGAGCTGGCACGGCGGCTGGGCCAGGAGGACCGGGAGGCACCGGAGGGAGGTGGCCCGAGGCGGGTGCGCCTCAGCCGGGAGCTCTCGGAGCTGGTGAGCCTCTGCCAGGCTGTCCCCTTCCAGGACTTTGAGAGCTCACGGCGTGGGCAGCGCTACTGGGAGATGTGCTCCTTCAGCGAGGTGGAAGCGGGACGCTTTGCCAACGAGTGCCCGGCTGAGCTGGTCAGCTACAACAAGCGGTTCCTCTCCCGTGTCTACCCCAGCCCCATGCGCATCGACGCCAGCAACATGAACCCCCAGGACTTCTGGAAGTGCGGCTGCCAGATGGTGGCCATGAACTACCAGACACCGGGGCTCATGATGGACCTGAATGCGGGCTGGTTCCGGCAGAATGGGGCCTGTGGCTACGTCCTCCGCCCAGCCATCATGCGGGAGGAGGTCTCCTACTTCAGTGCCAACGCCAAGGACTCCCTGCCCGGGGTGCCCGCCCAGCTCCTGCACCTCAAGGTCATCAGCGGGCAGAACCTGCCCAAGCCCAAGGGCTCAGGGGCCAAAGGGGAGGTGGTGGAGCCCTACGTCTGTGCCGAAATCCACGGCATCCCAGCTGACTGTGCTGAGCACCGCACCAAGACAGCCCTGCAGAGCGGGGACAACCCCATCTTTGATGAGAGCCTGGAGTTCCAGATCAACCTGCCCGAGCTGGCCGTCCTGCGCTTTGTCGTGCTGGACGATGACTACATCGGGGACGAGTTCATTGCCCAGTACACCATCCCCTTCGAGTGCCTGCAGCCCGGCTACCGCCACGTGCCCCTCCAGTCGCTGGCTGGGGAGCCCTTGCCCCACGCCACCCTCTTTGTGCATGTGGCCATCACCGACCGCCGTGGTGGGGGCAAGGGGCACCGCCGGGGCCGCCGGGTGCGGGAGTACACCTCCACCAAGGCCACCGGCATCAAAGCCATCGACGAGGTCTTCCGGACGGCCACGCAGCCGCTGCGGGAGGCCACCGACCTGCGGGAGAATGTGCAGGTACAGACGCTGCAGAGGCACTGGGGGACCTGGTTTCTGTGGGGGAGGATGGGGCCTGGGAGTGCGTCCTCTTCCTGGGAGATGTGAGCAAGGAGCCTTATCTGGAGCAGAGAGCCAGGGGAAACGGGGATGTTCCTGAGTGGGGAGCCACTGACACCCGTCTCTGCCCACAGAATGCACTGGTGTCCTTCAAGGAGCTGTGTGGGCTGACACCCGCTGCCAACATGAAGCAGTGCATCCTGACAGTGTCCACGTGGCTGCTGCACAGTGACAGCACACCCAGCGTCACCCTCAACCTGGCAGAGCAGTACCCCCCCATGGAGGCCCAGGGCCCCATCCCCGACCTGCTGCGCAAGGTCCTCACTGCCTACGAGACAGTAAGTGCCATTCTGCCAGGACTCAGCTCTATGGGGTCGGTGGCACCGGGACCAGTGCCCTCCCCAGGACAGGGGACCCTGAACTCACTGCACCCATCCCGCAGCAGGGGGAGGTGGGTGGGGGGCTGCCTAGGGGCTGTCCACGGAGGAGTCTTGCTGAGGCACAGGCTTGCCCAGGTCAGTACGACCCTGGGACCCCACAGCCTTCACTGCCTTCCCCTTGCCCTTGTCCTGCCAGGTGGGAGAAAACTCATTAATAGCCTCAGCCAGAGCTGCTTCCTTCCTTTGTGTTGGAGAGAACCTGGCCACCAGCCAGCTGCTGACAAGCCCCATCTCCCCATCCACTCAGCTGGGGGGGTTGTGAGGCCAGGGCTGCCCCGCTCCTCATGCTGTCCCTCTCCCCAGATGATCCAGACCAGCCGGACGCTGATCGAGTCCGCCGACGTGGTGTACGGGAAGCTCATCCAGGCGCAGCAGGCAGGTGGGTCCCTGAGGGCAAACCCAGCCCCAGTGGGGCTCTGGCCACAAACCTGGGCACGTCCTGGGGTGCTGGGGTGTGGGGCCTCCTGCACTGGGGACAGGGTGTGGGTGGGTGGGCTGCGGGGCTGCGTGGGAGGGAACGCACAGCAGAGCAGGGGAGGCTGATGAGGAAGCGGGGAAGAGTCATTAGCTGCCAAATGCCAGAACATAATTAGTGCCAGAAATAACAGGCTGGGGCTGACGGTAGAAGTGGCAACTGAGTGTTACGACTTCCCAGACACATGGCAGAACCCACACAGGCAGGTGCTGCTGCTGCCGCCTGCCCCAGTCCTCCCCCTGGCTGCCCCCACCGCAGCAGCTGCTTGGGACCCCCAGCTTCCCTCCAGGCCCTGATGGCTGTGTGGCCCCTCTGTGGGCTGGGACCTCCAGGGATAGCTCCACCAGCCCCAAGTACATGGGGGGCTGCTGGCCCAGGGGTTCATGTGGGCTCCCCACAGGGCTGGGAGAGCCTCAGGAGCTGGAGGGACTGGGGAGGAAGGAGGGGGCCCTGCTCTGCCATCCCCTCATGCCAGCCACGCTGCCAGCAGCCCTGTTTGTTCCCTGCCTACGCGGCAGACGGAAACCTCCCCGAGCTCTTGGCTTTCGGCTCTGGCACCGCTGCCAGCGCTGGGGGAGCGGAGCAGTGGGGGCTGCGGGGCACAGGTGGGCTCTGTGCCCTCCTCCACTGCTCCAGCTGCTGTGCTGGGGTGTTGCAGGGCAGAGGGTCCTGGGGTGTGTGGCCTCTCAGGGTGGTGGCAAGCAGCAGTTTGGGGGGCTGCAGCCCCCACCCTTGTGTCCTGGTGCTGTCTGTCCCTGCTTTCGCCTCGGCTGCGCTGTGGACGAGCCCCTGTGGTGCCAGCGTGGCCAGTACCCAGACGGCGGGTGCTGGGGGGTCTGGGGAGGTGCGGCTGCGGCGGGGATGCGGGGCTGGGGGTGTCTGATTGACAGCACGTGGGCGAGCAGGCTGCGTGGGAGCCCTGGAGTGGGCCCGGAGCCGGTGCTGCGTCAGGAGGGGTAAATATAGCACCCGCTCACGAGGCCGTCACGTGGTGCACAGCGCCAGGACACGAACCCCAGTGGGGGGGCCTGGTGGGCCCCCTGCTCTGAGCCCCCCTGGGTGAGCCGTGGGGTGCAAGAGATGTGCCTCTGCCCAGGGCCAAGCAGGGTGCCAGTGTGCTGGGGGCTCTGCTGGCTCATTGTTCCTGGCACAGCGGGGTTTGGGGGCTGCTGGGGCAGAGGGGAACCCACCCAGCCTGCACCCCCATGGTGGGCAAAGGGCTTCCCTCTGGCTTGGTCCTCGCTGGTGGTGGCCATCCCCATGCCAGCATCTCCTGTGCTTACTGAGCACCGCTCCCACCTGTGCAGGGATGGATTTCCACAAGGAGCTGCACCGCATCGAGACCAAGGAGGGGCTGCGGGGCCGCAAGCTGCAGAAGGCGCTGGAGAGTTTCGCCTGGAACATCACCGTCCTCAAGGTGAGGGGTGAGAGCTGCGCGGGCACACCTGTCCTGCCCTGACACCTCGCCCTGATGCCTTCACGCTGACACCCACCCTCCTCAATGCCCCCTCCCCGCAGGGCCAGGCTGACCTCCTCAAGCACGCCAAGGCGGAGGCACTGGACAACCTGTGGCAGATCCACAACGCGGGACAGTCCTGCGGCATCGGCAGGAACGGCTCGGCCTCGCCGGAGCTGTCCCGGCTGCGCGCCCCGCTGGAGCCCATCCCCGAGACTGACGGAGGCGGTGACACAGCGTCCTGCTGACCCCGGCCTGGGGCTCAGGGGCCCGGACTGAGCATCCCCAGCCACTGAGGACAGGAGCAGGAGCCCCAGCCTGCCCATGGACAAGCAGCTGCCTGCAGGCTCAGGCTGCCTGGGGGGACACATCTGAAGCCTGTGCTCTGCCGTGTCGAGGGGCTCCATCAGGGCTCAGTGCAGAGGCTGAGGAGGGGTAATCCCACTCCTGCTTGCCTCCTTGAGCTCCTAGGAGACTCATTGATTCCTCCCATCTGCTTCCAGAGCCTGCACTCTGCTGTGGTGCTGGTGGGGATGCTGGCACTCCAGTGCTCGTGTGCGTGTAGCCTGCTGTGGCAGATTCTGCTTGGAAAAGCAGCCCCAGGTTTGGGCTCCTGCCCCTCCTTCCCCAGGGCTGCAGGTTTGGCCTTTGCCAGGCCTGGGGAAAAATCTGGCAGGCAGGAAGGGTCCTGGCTAGTCCTCTGTGGCACCCCTGGAGCCCCCACTGTGCAGAGGAGCTGGGAGGCTGTGGCACAGCAGCTGTGGAGCCAGAGCATCAGTGGACAGCAGATGTGGCTTCTGGCATCAGGAAAATGTTGGGATTTGTCCCCCGGGGCAAGGGAGTCCCAGCACAAACAGAGCGGGGGAGCTGGGATTGGACTGGAACTGTGGAGCGTTATAAAGAGTGCAAGAACCTTCCTGGCGCCCTGTGGATCCCTCTGTACCTGGCACGGGGCCAGGGCAGGATGGGGTCACCGAAGGGGATGGAGGGTGGCACTGGCTATGGAACCCTGATGGCACCATCCCTCCCTGGCACCATGGGGAGTGCAGGGTGACACCTCCCCACAATCAGGGAGCTGTGCTGCTGCCAGTACCCCTTTGTTCAGGGGGATAATTAGCCTAATGGGGCTCCGAGCATCAGCCTGGAGCACTGTGCTGCCGGTGCTGGCCAGCATTGACCTTCAGCCCCTTTGTGCCAGCCCAGCCACAGGGCCTGTGGGCAATTAGGGCCTCATTAGTGCCTGGCGCCCCAGCCACTGAGCACCCACACAATGAGGAACTGCAAATGAGGGGAAAGGCCTGGATGGTCTCCGGGCTACCGGCCCCAGCGCGCCTGTGTCTCCCAGAGACCGTCTGCTCCCCGCTGCCCCAGCGGTATTTTTGGCAGCACCATTGTGCTGGGCCCTATAAAGCAGTGGCAGCAGCACAGGGCACTGTGCTCTCAGCTGCCCAGGGGGACATGCCCCAGAGCTACTCGGCTGCCTGAAGACCCCAGGAAGGATGGAGGTGCCAAACACCAAGGTGGGGCTGGGGCACTGCAGCCCAGGGGGAGAGGAGGGCAGCAATGGGAGGGAGGTCAGGATGTGGGGCTGGGGGTGCAGGAAGGCCTGGCCAGTTCCTTGGGAAGCTCCAAGTGTGTGGCAAATGCCCAGGGCTGCCCAGCTGCGGCCAGCAGCTGATCAAGGGGCTTCTTGTGAGGGATTGGAGTGCATCAATGCCCGTGGTGTTGAGTTTGGGTACTCCCACTGCTCGTTCCATGGCACTGGGCAGCAAGGGGAGGGTGTTTGCCGTGGCTGCCGTGTGCTGGAGCAGGGAAGGGATGTGGTGAGGGCACCCACATCTGGCTGCTGGTCAGAGCACAGCTGGAGGTGCTGGCCATGTCCCAGGGCACCAAAGGGTGACACTCTGAGTGCACCTCGGGTGTGGGGCGTGACAGCGACTGGGCAGGGGACAGTTGAGACACCAGTGGGCAAGGCAGGAGAAGGGGGCAGCCCTGGGGCTGTGCACTCTCCCCCTCTCTGCCCTGTCACTGCCCTGCACTAATGCTGCCCATTGCTCTGGCAGCTCCAGCGAGCTTCCTGCCTCTTGCTCCTGCTCCTGCTCTGCTCCCTGGCCTCTCCCCGGCAGAGCCTGCCCGACTGCTGCCGGCAGAAGACCTGCTCCTGCCGCGTCTATGACCTCCTGCACGGCATGGGCAACCACGCCGCTGGCATCCTCACGCTGGGCAAGAGGAAGAGTGGCCCCCTGGCCTTCCAGAGCCGGCTCTACCGCCTCCTCCACGGCTCCGGCAACCACGCCGCGGGCATCCTCACCATGGGCAAGCGCGGGGAGCGCCCTGGCACCACCGGCCACGACACATCGGGCTGCCCTGCAGGCGAGGACACCCAGCCAACACCAGCACTGCGAGGTGCTGACACTAGCCCTGCCGGCCCCAGGGAGTGCCAGGGACACTCAGGGAAGGACCTGAGCACGATCCAGGCCCAGGGAGCGGCAGGGAGCTTTTACTGAGTGGGGTGGGGACAGTGAGGGCAGAGAGGGGATGTCTGGGGGGGATGGAATCCTGGGACACACACTAGGAGCTCGGTGTAAATAGCACTTTTAGATACCTCCTCCCTGGCTCAGCCTGCCCAGGGAACTGCGGGCACCGCGGGCACCGCGGCCTTTTACAATAAACGGTAGCCTGATGTCACCCTGCTCTGTCGTCTCTCTAGGGAGGGGTCAGAAGGGCACAGCTCAGCACCGGGTCAGCTGCCGAGGCAAGTGCCTTTCTCCACGGTGTCTGCACTGGGCTCACCTATGGCGCCTGCACTGGGGCGCCAGTGGGTGCAGGACCAGGACTGGGGGCGAACGGAGGCGCTGACCGGTCCTGCCCCTTCCTCAGCGTCCGTGGGCCCAGGAGAGCGGCGGCTGAGCGAGTCCTGGGGCCAGGGGAGTCCCGGTGCTTCCCGGTCCGGCGGGTCCGGTGCCGAGCAGGTCCTGGCGCCACCAACTCTGTGCGCTCCCGGGACCGAGCGCCCTGCCCGCGGGCGGTGGCCGGTGCCCGCCGGTGCCGAGGCCCCTCCCGGTGCCGGGGCGGGGCGGGGGCGGGGCGGGAGCCCCGGGCGGGCCGGGATCAGCCCGTGGCGCTGCGGAGGGGCCGGGGGCGGCGGAGGCAGCCCTGCCGCCGCAGCCCCGCGGCGGGCGGCCGGGCGGGACGATGCCGGTGATGAAGGGGCTGCTGGCGCCGCAGAACACTTTCCTGGACACCATCGCCACCCGCTTCGATGGCACACGTAAGGCCGGGACGGGGCCGGGGAGGGGCCGCGGGGGCGGGGGGGAGACAGGGCGGGGGGAGGCGCTGCCCCGCAGGAAATGGCCAGGGGGACGGGACTCGGCCCGGCCCCGCAACCCCCGCGGCTCGGCCGGACGCGCCCACCCACGCGCTGTTCGGAGACCCTTCCGTGTCCCTGTGAGGGCTCGGTACACCGGGACTCCCCCTGTCCGTGTCCTGGGCCGCCCCCACGATGCTCTCCCCGCGCCCGCCGCCGGTGCCGCTCGGTGTCGCCGCAGCCGCGCTCAGCACCAGGGACAGATCCCGGTGGCGCCGGGAGGCTCCGCGCGGAGATCCCGGAGGAGCGGGGGAGCCCCAGAGGGGGCACGGCCGGTCTCACCCCGCCGGAGCTGACCTGGGATCCCTGGGGCCCCGCGTTGCCCCGTCCCGTGCCCGAGCGGTGCCCGTGTCCCCGGGCGCTGAGGTCCCTCCCCTCCGTGTCCGTGTGCCGGGGTCGGGATGGATTGAAGCCTGCATGGATCATGCCTGGGCACCACGAGTCAGCTCCAGCACCGCTGGCATCATGCAGCCACCTGGGGTCGGGCAGTGTTCGGGACTGACCTCAGCTCCCCCCTGAATCACCTGCAGCAGGAGTCTCCGGGGCCAGCTGCCTCCGGGACTGGGTTTCTCCTCCCTTGCTGGGAGGGACCGGCATGAAGATGGCACTTTTAATCTGCAGCCACCTCCCAGGGCACCGTCGAGGAACCTGGAGCACCCTGGGGCATGTGCTGGTTGCAATGCTGGGCTGGATCCTGGCCTGGAGTGACAAGGAGCCGCCCTGGTGGCTCAGGGGTCGTTTGCCCGGAGGAGCTGGGATTTGGGATTTTACATTTGGGGTGTAATGTGTGAGGAGGCAGTTGGCCTCTGAGCTTCCGACCGACCTGCGTCTGGAAGTGCTGGGACAGAGCCACATGTGCCTTGTTCTGGTGATCCCACTCCCTCCTTAGAGGCAGAGCGCCTGTATCTGGCTCTCCGAGGGAAGGGTCCCCGTGGGAGCTGCCCGCAACACCTCGACTCAAAGCCCTGGGAATTTGCCCCGGGGAACCGGGCTGCCCGACCGCCTCCGGGCACTTTTAAACAGTGTGGGGCTTTGAGGGTTTGATGTGCCTCTTATCGGCTTTAACTGCCATGGAGATGGGGTTTAGCGCAGTGATAGTCGGAGTTAGTTAACCCTGCCTCTCCCGGGCAGCTGCTGTGCTGCACCCCAGGGCTCCCAGCCAGACACACTGGCCACCCTGGCTGGGGTCTGCGGAGCCCCTCCAAGGCTGCATCACCCAGCTCGGTGGAGCCACTCCCCAGTGCAAACCCTTGTTTTCTTTTCTAATAACACATCCTGGACATCACCATAATCCCGGCTCCCCAGAGCCAAAATCTGGCCTTAGTCACAGCTTCAGGCTATTTTTGCTTCTCCGAGCTAATCCCGGGCTGAGCTGTGCTGTGGCGGCCCTGCTGCATCCCCTTTGGCCAAGGCTGCCCGCGGCTGCCATCCCCCCCCCTCCTGTGGCCTCTGCTGCCCTTGGCCTGCCCTGGCACTGCTTTGCCTGCTCTGTGCGAGCACTGGCATTGCTGTGGGCCCCTCTCTGTTGTGAGAGGGGGCAGAGCGTGTTTTCTTGCTCCTGGCTGTGTGGTGCAGGAGTCTTGGGCTGGGGACCCAACACTGGAGACCCTGGTGGGGCTGGGGACAGCCCAGATCTGCCCATGCTGGGTGCAATCACAGCCCATGTTGGACACACACCCACTTCCTTGGCACCCTGCTAGAGTGAACCCATCTGTCCCACTGGTATAGGGCCTGAAGCAGGAGCTGCTGTGGTCCCGGGACAGAGCCCACAGCTGGGGACTGCAGGGCATGGGGCTGCAGCTGTTCTTGCAGCTGGGTAGGGCATGGGGCTGGTGAGGGGTTTTACTGTGCTGGTGCCACCCTCCCTGCCAGGCCAGGGTGATGCTGGGGAGGCTCCACGGTGCTGACGGACTGAGGATGCCGTAGTTCACCTCTGGCTCGTGCCACCTGGGCACAAGGCCTTGACTTCCCCCAGGCCTGTGGCTGTTCTCCCACCCTCTCAGCTGGTGCTGCAGCTGAGCAGGTCTCCAGCTGATCCAGGTGATCCAGACCTCTGGGGATCCCAGCACCAGAGCTGGGCACCCCTGGGCTGGCAGCGCCCAGCTGTGTTTGCTGCCACTCCCGCTAAGCTGGCTGAGCCCGGGCGGAGCTGGAGCGGCAGATGGTGAGAGGGAGGCGTGAGTCGCCTCGCGTGGGCAATGGGGGCCAGGACATGGATCCGGGCTACTTCCCCTTCCAGTGCATGGGGCTGGGGTCCTGCCAGGGCTGGGACCTCGGGGGGCAGTGGGTCAGGGGATGGGTGAGCTCTAGGAGCAGCTGGGGGCAGCTAACAGCCAGATGGAGACCCGGCCCTGCTTCCCAGAGGGACACATGTGGGGCTGGGCTGCCCTTTGTGCCCTGTGAGGTGGCCCTGAGCCCTCAGGGGCGGCCGCATCTCCTTTCAGACAGCAACTTCATCCTGGCCAACGCTCAGGGCCGCTGCGGCTTCCCCATCGTCTACTGCTCCGACGGCTTCTGCGACCTCACCGGCTTCGCCCGCACCGAGGTCATGCAGAAGAACTGCAGCTGCCGCTTCCTCTGCGGGGCCGAGACCAGCGAGCTCGTCCTGCAGTGCATTGAGAAGGCTCTGGATGACAGGCAGGAGTACCAGTCCGAGGTCTGCTTCTACAAGAAGGGTGGTGAGTGGCGCTGGGGCTGGGTCCCTGCCCGCAGCTCTGACTGGCCCTGGGGGAAGCCACCGAGTGCGTGGTGCTGCCCCACCTTCACCACCCTCTTCCTCCATGCAGGAGATGCCTTCTGGTGCTTGCTGGACATCATGCCCATCAAGAATGAGAAGGGGGAGGTTGTTCTCTTCCTCTTCTCCTTCAAGGACCTCACGGAGAGCCGGGGCAGGAGCCACCCAGGGGACAAGAAGGAGGGTGAGCCATGGCTGTGGGATGGTGATGGAATCTGGGGAGCTGTTTGTGTGGTGGGCACGTGGCAAAGGGACTCCCTGTTCCCTGGTGGGTCCTGCCTGCCATGTACATCCATGCCACAGCGCTCCCACTGACGCAGTGTGTCCTGTCTCCCGCAGAGAAGCGGAGGAACAAGAAGCCTGGGAGTTCCCACCTGCGGGCTGCACGCAGGCAGGGCCGGACTGCGCTGCACAGGCTCAGCAGCCAGTTTGTCCGGAGGGACCGCAGTGAGGTGAAAATCAACCGGGTAAGGACCTTGGGGACCCTCAGCTTCACCCAGCGCCTCCTGGGCTGGGGCTATGAGGGACTGGCAGTGCAGCAGCTCTCTTGAGGAGCAGCTCCCAGCAGAGCCCAGCCTCCCAGGAATGCTGTTCCCATGCACGCCCATCCCTGGCTTCCCCAGCACTGAAGTGCTCTCCATCCCTGGCAGCTGCTCCGTAGCCAAGGCTGCACATGTGTTTGGTTGGCAGCAGGAGAGCCCAGAGGGTGCCCAGAGCTCGCCGTGGGGGCAGCAGACCTGGCAGCTGTGGCAGGGCCGTGCCTCTGCTCACATGCTTTGCTCTCAGGAAACCCCAGTGCTGGCTCTGAGCACAGCCATGCTGGCCCCAGGGAGCGCCGTTACCAGGCTGCCAGAGCTGTGGGGCTGCCAGCCAGGGCAGGGACCAGAGTCAGTCCTGTGCCAGGCCCTTTCAGTCCTGTGCCAGGCCCTTTGCATGGCTGCAGTGTCCAACACAGGGTCCTTGGGCACCACCTGCAGCCATGGGGCCAGAGAGGGGTCCAAGAGCCATTGGGGCCCAGGGCTGGTGAGCAGGCAAAGGGTGTCACTGCACCAATCTTAAATTTTGGGGACTTGGGTGGGATGGCCCCGGCTCTGCCCTCACCCAGCTGGTGTCACATTTCCTCTTGTCAGTGCTGTGTCCCTGCAGAGGCGGTCGTTGCTTTAATTGATGTGCCATAATCAGGCATTCTGTGCCCATCTCTGTGGGTGACCTCAGTGCATCCATCACCCCCTGGCATCAGGGAGTGGCAGCCAGACTGGAAGGACTCAGGAGGGGGGTGGGGGGGCCTGTGGTGTCCCTCACCCCTCCTGTGGGCCCTGCACCATCCATGTACCACCCCACACTTGCTCCCCCAGAACGTGTTCGAGGGCAAGCCGTCCATCCCCGAGTACAAGGTGGCCTCGGTGCAGAAGTCCCGCTTCATCCTGCTCCACTACAGCATCTTCAAGGCGCTCTGGGACTGGCTGATCCTGCTGGCCACCTTCTATGTAGCCGTCACCGTCCCCTACAATGTTTGCTTCATGGGCATGGAGGACAGTCTCTCGGCTGCCCGCAGCACCATCATCAGTGACATCGCCGTGGAGATGC